GACTAGGCCCGAGACTAGGCCACTCCGTAAAAAAGATGGACTGATAGTCATCGAAAATTTGGAGGTCAGTATCTTTTCCCTTCAAACTTGTCACTGTTGAAAGAATCTTCTAGTCACTGTATCTATACGTGACAAATGAATCTCTTCAACGATTTTTGAAATTTGTAAACTTTATCATGTCTCTTTTATCATTGAAGAGGTTCATCAGTCCCATAATCTAAATCACAGATTAAAGAATAATCCTCAATCAGTGACAATTTGAAAACGTAAAGTCACGCCCTATGAGCTAGTCTTGTGTTCTTGTAAGACTACATGTAGGTCACTCCATGATCAAGTCATGTACAGTGGACATAAAAAATTAGTGTTTTATACCTTTTCACATTGGAATGAAATACCATGACTTAACATGTGTTGATAATCATGTCTGACAATAATTGTTCTCAGACTAGAATTATACAAACTAATCCTACCGCCATCGCTGAGTGGTAACTTGTCCCACATGCGATGAAAATCAGGCGGCGACAGCGCTTCAGTTCATTGATATGCTGCTTCAGACCACCCAGGTGAACTGGAAAGAACCAATGACTCAGTAAGAAATCAAAGAAGATATCTTTTCTGCCTTAAGTTTAGCTTAGACATCTCAATGGTAGAATCTGCCCCATAATCATCATCTTGAAAATCATCATAAACATACAGCATAGAGATTTCATAAACCATAAACAAACCAATAAAAATAAAATAAATAATTAAATAAAGTTTGTATCATTTTCTGTTTTGTTTTTATGCAATCACATATTATGATACTTACAAAATGTACAAATTCCAACTTAAGAAATGAGAAAGGAAAGGTCATCAATGAATATCACACTCTGGTACTATGCCATTTTGATAAATGTAGATGGCTTCTTCTTGCTAAAAAAATATCAGGATGATATGTTAATATGAATAATTCATACCTGTGTTGGCATCAAAGTTGATCCTGCCCCTCATGGTGTTGACAACAGATTCGGGCTGCTCAAAGATTTCCTTCTGCATGAAGGTGCTGTAGTTACCTATGGAAAAGACAGATGCTGATCATCATGCTCTTGTATTCAATGCCCCATCAGTGCCCCATTGATGCTGCACTGGCCTGGCATTTTTGACATTGATACTGCCTCCATCCAGATCCATTGTATACTGTGCAACTGAGTTATTTTCTCATCTCGTGGTTGTTGAGACCTTCAGGTTTGACTGTACTGATAATTTTCAGCAATGCTATATGACAGCATGTAATTTGACTGGTTTGGAGCACTTCAGACATACAAATGTAAGTCCCCAGCAGTGTTACCAGTAGGGACTGTGACTGTACCCACCTCTCATGATCTGCTGGAGCTCCATCTGCAGAGTCTGGACCTGTCTGGTGGATGACTCGTCTACAGAGCGCCGGATACGGTGCAGGGACAGGCCTGGTTTTGCAAATCAGAAAAAAATAAAAAGGCAAATCCGAGAACCAACAAGTCAAATTGGTATGGCCCAATACATTAGAATGTAGAGATTTCTGAAGAAAGGACAACTCACATCCATCTGTCACAGCGGCCACATCATCATCCTCCATGAAGATGACACGGTTAGTGTGCTCGATGATGGCACTGTGGAGACAGACAGTTAACACATCCATGAATAGTTTCATCAGGTTGGTAAGACACTGAGTAAAGAGACTCTTTTTACACAACAAGTCTTTTATTCAGCCAACGTTTCAGTGACCGTCTGTCACCTTCCTCAGCAACACCTGTGCTGCAATGCAATGTGAACCAGTCAGAATTGCCCTGAGGAAGGTGACAGACGGTCACCAAAACGTGTGCTAAATAAAAGACTTGGTTGTGTAAAAAGAGTCTCTTTACTCAGCCAGTTAACACAGTAAATGAAATGTGTCAAAATGATACTAAGTGTAACACTGAATTGTGGATATCAGTAAACATGAGCAATGTACCATCTCTTTTACAATACAAAAACTAGTATGCCAAAAATATTGTACTCCAGTCTAACCTGGCATCTGATGCAAAGAAGTACTCCACTTGTCCGTCTCCATTTGCAGGCTGGAAGCTGGATGTACTGTTGGCAGTGTTCAAGGCCTCTTGGTTGTTTCCTAGACATGTGCAGGATCAAACAACAATCACTTCATGGCAGATGTATATATTATGTATGACCCAGTAATAGAATTTTCAGTCTGAGCTTTGCAGGGTCATACAGCTTCTTTTAACAGAATACTAGCCAAATGGTTCATTTTGGAAAACCACATTTTTCACATTTATGTCCAAATGGTGTTTCTCTGGTATGTACTGTTATATTTTAGCAATTCTAGAACTGCATCAGTCAGCCAAATTTGTACTATCCATATAAGGGTAACCCTCTAAAATGTCAATTCCTTAAATTTGACATCTTAGAGCATTACCATTATCTTTTACATTAATCAATAGAAAAGTACATCAGACAATATTTTGTCAACAAAATAATGATTATAGATAATAATAAAGAAGCATAGGAAACAAAAGACCAAAGTTAACAAAACAAGCAGAAGTGAGGAAGGATTCAGCAAGTGCTTGAGGGTATCTGTACTGAGAAGCAGAGCCATGTTTATACATGTCATGTAGGAACAAGGAGGACTTAGATTGTAGTTTTCATTCATAATTCTATTCATTACTGGATCAGTTACATTTAGAAATAAAAGACTTACTAAGATCATTTCCTTACATTATTTTTATTACTATAATCATTCTCTTTTTTTATCTCTGATTTTAATTTGATGAAGTATGGAATTGAAAAGGTACCTACGGTATAAGTTAACTTTGTATTAATTATGTACCTACAATTGCACAAGAATCAAAGATTGAGCAAGCTATTGTCCAGACCTTATTACAGTCTCAGTTATAGTTGACCTGTGACCAGTATTCATGTCATGTACACATACAAGCCAAATCAAAATACAATTATGGAGTAAAATGAACTTGGATAATACTTTTCAAGTATTAAAATACCCTCTGTGAAAATGTATTTCACAAATTCATTCAGCTCCAGATACTTTCCAAATTCCCTTTACACATGTACAGAAAGCCATGTTGATTTGCTTATATGGATGACATCTGTGTAAGCATGAACTTTTGTCCATTTCCAAAACAAATTACCATACTACGACCAAATTACTGTCAATCGTACAAAGCATCTACAAAATGAGCAAATACATGTATATGCCGTAAATTGCAAAAAATATTGGAAAACGGCACTAATAATATAATGACCAAATCAATTCCAAAGGAAAACAAGAAAATGTGACAAAATGTTGAGTCTGTTATTTGCCCTACCATACTCCTGTGTGTTTAGTCATTTGTTCAACCTTCATGACCACATAGATTTCATACACATATATCTATAATGAAGGCAACTTTTTTTTGCCAACCTTTTTTTTTCATTCACACACGCGCATCAGTTTTGGGGTTCCCAGAGGATGTCATCCACATAGTCAAATCAACATGACCTAACTGTACTGTAGAGGCCTTTTTAAGACAATCATGTATATCACAAAGGTGACAGGTCAATGCTGCATACCTTGAGACCATGCTATTATTAGATAGAAAAGCCTGTGTAGCCACACCCAGCATGTTTTCATTCATTATGATCGTCCAAACTTACCAGTCACTGTACATGTACCTCCCTCATTCTTGCCAGCACCTAATATATTGATACATTGTCAATTATGTCAATTGATTTGATCTTACATGCAGTATTGGGAATATCGGTGTTTTTTTTTAACTTTGCCATGCAGCCATATTGATAATTATTTGGATTCATAAAAGAGCGTAATTGGTGTGATATAGGGTAATTGTTGTGATAGGTGGCTTTTAAAGATATTTTTGACATTTGAAATTGACGAAATGCATTTCCCTTACGCAAACTTTTAACTTTAAATGCATGATGAGCTGTTTTCATGTTTGATATCTTTATACTTAATAAACTATTTAACTTTTGAATCTTTTAATTTTTGATTATCACATCACGTCAAAAATTTTGACTATGATCTTTACACTACAGATTACATTTCGTGTTTTCTACATCATCCTTGACCCATTTGCCTATCATGAAACTGACCACTGTGTCCCAAACACCCCAGGATTCAGCAGAAAATGACTGACACTCTACTTCAGAATTGAGTATACAATTTCACACTGCTTCACCCTCAAAAGTTAGTGTCATGATGCCAAAATTCCAAGTACATTTCATCTAATGATGAGGCATACATACGTATGTACATGTATGCAAGCGTAAAGGGTACATAATTATACAATGTACAAGTAATTGGCCTTTCAGTTGAAGTAATTAATAAGTCACGGGCCGATTACACTGGAGGTGGGAGTTGGAGTGAAATATATATATGCTGCATTTGCTGTCCTTTTCAGTACAGTCTGTTGTTGTTATGACTAGCAGGTTCTTTTAGTGTATGATTCCTCTGTACTTGACGTTGATATTTTAACACTACCTGCTGCTGAAGTGAAGTCCTTAACGTGACTTCTGCTGTAGTCAGACAGACAGCCTTTGGGGGGGCGGGGGGGGGGCAGGAGAGACACAGAACACAAAAGAACAAAGAACAGAGAGAGAGAAGGATTGAACAAAAGTTCAAATGTGACATGTAATGGTGACAATGACAATGATACTCAAGTAAATATTTAAGGGAAAAAGAGATATCAAGCACTGTCTGACAAATCCTTGGGAACCATTTTTTAAATCCCAACTCAGCAAATTTTTACAAATTCCAGCATAATACTGAAGATCATGATCAATAAAAGTGAACTGAAAGCAAGAACAGAATTCAAACACTACATAGTAGATGTACATTCATTGACGTATTTCACCAATCAGTACACTTAGGTTAGGATAATATAATGAAAAATACCTGCCATATGCAATGCCAAATTAAAAGATGTGTGAAGCAAATTGCTTATGACATTGTACAATCTCTGCTCGTGTATTGTGTAATACAGTATGTCACAAACTTTTCTTCCAGAAGATTTTATGTCAAGTTAGTCTTGATATTGAATGTAGTATAAGTTAATGTGAACATGGGAAAAGTGTAATCTAAAGATGAGTTTGGAAGTAAGAATTGAAAATCAACACTGAGTGAACACAAATGGACAAAACATTAATAGAACATAATACGTAATGAACATAATATTCTGTTAATAAAAAGAAAAGAAACAATAGCTTGTACACAGTAGATCAAAATGATGAGAGAGATTCAAATCCCATTTTTATACTCCAAATAAATCACAGTTGATTTTCAAAAGGAATCATTCAAATTTCTAAACGATTAATTTTTTTAAATGATTGGTTTCAATTTTCAGGTCAAGCTACAATAAAGTTTCTTTGTGTTGGACCAAGGAAGAAGCCTAGGCTTATAATAGTACATGATACATTTCTTACACCAAATAAACAGACAACTTAGTAAAAATTGCAAAGCAAGAATCAATGGTGAGCAAAGCTATATTTGAAGTGCAAATAGAAACAATTCTTGACCACAAACCACCAGACAATAATACATGTAACTAAGGAAAGCAGACATTATGTGCACCACAGCACAGTTTAGAAATGTTGCATGCATTCTAGGTTCTTCCTCGGCCCAACACAGGGAAACTTCATCCTTCAACAAATCTTTTCGAAGCACAAACCTATTTTGTTGCCTTTCTCTTTGTTGGCACCGAGCAGTTTCTTGCTGGGCTCTAATCAGGCAAACGAAGGTTAATGATATGTGGAAAACTACAAAGAAACTGTTATGATGAAACAAACCATGCAGATGTTAGTGTGTTAATACCACTCAGTACTCACAAGTACATCACACGTACATCACAAAAAAGGATTAAGACAAGGATCTGTATTGTAGATTCAGAGGGAGAAACTGTTATACCAGAAAAGGTCAGCAGGGGGCACTTCAAATTTGTTCCTCTCCCTGGTGCTATCTTAGTTAAACTACATCTACATAATAATGACATCCATGCTTAACTGGTTAACACTTAGTTCAAATAATTATTTCAATGTTTCTATATGTCACAAATTTGTTTCATGACTACATCACTAAATGTAACAATGTCTAAACTCACATAAACATAAGGTCAAGTAAAAAGTCAATGATTAGTTAAAGTTGATTCACACACTATATACTGTTGTAGATTATGAGAATGTACATACTACTGCTTAGTTTAAGTGATCATGGATGTTCATTTTTAGAGGAAAAATGGGACTAGTTTGACTTTGAACGGTGAATGATAGTTGCAGGCAAATGATTAAGTGGGGACTACATTGACAGAAAGATATAAAAACCAAAATGCAGCCCTTTTGCAAGAGCTAATATAGATGCTATCAAATATCATTGTGCAATGAAAAATGCAGAAACACTGTTCCTGTGTCTATCTGGTATAATCATGAAGTTTCAATTGAAAAATTATCAGCAGAACTTTTCTCTTGTTTTTCTTTCAAAAACTGTTTCCAATGTCTGTGGATGTTTCCATTGTTTGTTATGCTGCATCTGTTTTATATTGTATCTAACTACCAGAGTGTATGTACATGTAATGGTAGCATCTGTGAAATACTCACCCTTGCTGTACAGAATGGGGATGTGGTCTGTGGACAGTTTGCTTTTGCTGGCGATACCAATCAGCAGTGGGCTCCCTCTCCTATTAAATAAGGTTGACAATTTTGTATACATGTATTAATTGGCTGGCAAGAAAAAAGTCATTCAACTCTATATAGATCTCAGTGTACATCTACATTTTTTGTACAGAGAGCTGTTGGGAGGAAAATGTGAGCATTTTGTAGTTGATTCAGAACATGATGCATCAGAAAAAAAAGCTATCATAGGGTGGATCTAGCTGCCACCAAATACATTTGTATGTACAGTAGAGCAGAGGCATCATCTCTAGATAGCTTTAAATAATGCTATGTAATACAGCTACATGTGCAATCATTATCACAGGTTGTTCAGTGTGAAATAACCAGATTCTGCCATGAAGCTTGTCTCAGGCCAATACTTATTAAAAGCGAGAAAATACTACAGCCAAACAACCTTGAAGCAACAGCCTGTCCGGGATACTTGGTACTCTTGAACACAACAGCAAAGGCACCTTCCTGCAGAGGAATGACAGTTCACCAGTACAATAAATGTGAAGCAACTATCAAGCATGTACAATTTGTATTTAGAAGCATTACAACTGTAACTTTAACAACTTCAGCATCTGTTTGTAAATGATTTAATGGAAGTTGTTTTAGTTGGACACCAACAAAATCAAGTACAATGTAGTCAGGGTTTTTATACCAGCAGTCAACATGGTATATGTAGATATAGAATACTACATGGCATATTCTGTATCACCAGAGGTGCTAGTCTGACCACAGGTCAGATTGCCCTCTGGCCACACAAAACACGTTCAAATTATCCCATGGAACATTTGGAACACCTGTACCATGATATAACTGATATACCGGTACCCCTAGTTATCACATGGGCTGAAACACCCGCATTGAATGTTTAGCATATCCCAGGTGTGACATAAATGAGAAAGACTGACCAACTGTTGGACAGTTCCCTCCACCAGCTCCCTGAATGTGATGCTGTCACTCTCCCTGGTGTCGTACATGTACTTCAACAGCTTAGCAATCACTTCTGTGTCTGTGTCCGACTCAAACTCAAACCCTTTTCCAATCTGCAAGAAAATAAATATGCATAAACAAGAGTTCCACAATGCCATACCTTCACCAAATGATGTTTTAATTTAAGGATGAGATATGATAAAGGTTTTTCAATGTCTATCTGTGTAGCCATCACTTCTGTGTCAGTGTCTGAAAAATTGCAAATAGTTTTTACTTTAGATTTTCCTACTTTGGAGTCTACTTACCAGGAATTTCTTGATGTCCTTGTAGTTGGTGATGATGCCATTATGAACAACAACAAAGTCTGTAAAATAGTACACATGATTATATAAAAGGTGGTTAGTTATTGGCATCTTGTGCAGTGTATTTTGCTACCTACAATTGGAAGAATGTCAATGCAGACAGTTAGAAACTTGGAACAAAATGTCTTTTACTATCATGAAGTTCATTGTGTTGGTAGTTACATGTTTAAAGTCAGACTTCAAAGAAGCCACGTGGCAAGTCTCAGTGAGTCAGTCTACTGAGGAAGACCTGAGTGACTGGTCGAAAGTTCCAGGTGAGAACCATTAAACTTTGTGTTGGATTGAAAGTTTTAACTTTCAATATGGCATTTACATTGCATAATGTTATCAACATGAGCAGAGCAACGTACTGTATGTATATGACACGTAATTTGTACAACAAAGTTTCCAATAAGTGTGTGCCATCAGTGCGTACCATTGTTTGTGTCTGAGCGTTGGGGATGACTGTTGACGTTGTTGGGTACACCGTGGGTCGCCCAGCGGGTGTGTGCAATGCCCAGGTGGGTGTCAAACTCCAGGTCAAAGTTCAGATCCTCCCTTCCTACATTGAACACATAGTCATTGGTGGATACGCAAATCTTAGTATTAGAATTCTATACTACAACCAAACAAGATATTACATTCATAGCTCTTTTGTCTTTTCTGTGAAAACACATTGACCTTTTTCACAGATTTCTTGCACATTGGTATTGAGGCATCACGTTAAGACAATTCAGAAAAAATAACCTTGAATCTCCTCCTGAAGGTTGATGACCTTTCCTCTCTTCTTGATGAGGATTGTGGGCTGCTCGCTTTTCTCAATGTCATTTCCACCGTCCACACCAATCCCTGTTAGATAAACAATTCCACATACTTGTCTCTGCACAGTATTTCAAAATCTTGTATAAAGAATGTACTACATGTATGTTACAGTACTATGTTACAGTCTGTCATCTTACATAACGTCTGGAATCATAAATATGACAGTTTTGAGTAACCCTCCAATTACACACCTGCAGAGTCATAGCCCCTGTACTCCAGTCTCTGAAGCCCCTTGATCAGCTTGTCCAAAATCTCCTTCCGCTTTTTTGGCACACAGAAGTTCAAGTACGCAAAAATTCCTGGTGGGAGAAAGAAGGAATATATATCACACATAGTATTGAACATTCAGTTTGAACATATAACTATGTTATGATCAGGTTTGTTTATATAATAATAGTCTTACCCCATCCCACTGAATCATCAGTGATCTTGATAATGATGATTCCTCTGTTTGCTGAATTCATTTCTTTTGGCTTAAGACTTCTTTGAACATCCTTTTTCTGTCACTTAGGTTCTCATTTAGCAATAACTAGTAAGTGGGTATTGTGGCCCTTTACTCGCGCTTTAGATATTTTTTAGAATAGAAAAACATGCCATACCTAAATAGACATCTAATTGAGGCGAGAAAGACATAAAGTTGTGCATATGCGTGCATTTTCATCCTTGTACCTAATGATATCCAGATACCATGGTTGTAGGCCTTGGAACACTTTAAAGCCTTGAACTGATTACTAGTACTAGTATGTGTAAGAGTCGTTTCCAGAGCCAAACATATGTCAGAGACAAAATCAGTGGACTTCCTTGGGCCTAGGAAAAAATGTTGTGTCTCCCGTTATTTCCTGACCAACCCTAGAAAAAAAATGCTGACCTTAGCCTTTTTTTGTGTGGAACCCTGCAAGGGACATAAATTTTTCAAGCTGACCTTTTCTATCTCCATAATCTGACACCTGATTGATGAAACCTTGTACAATCCATTTTTTAACATTGACATTGAAGATCTAAGTGTCCTCATGCAAGTTTTATTTTGTTAAAAAAATTGTATTCAATTTGATATTTGCATTGATAGAGATCGCCAAAGTCTATTAAAAAGATTAACAAAAAATGATTATCTTACCGGCCATGATTTTTTAAGGACTGAAACAGGAAAAACAACATTTTTCTCCCAAGGCCCTATGGACTTCCTTGGCACTGTTGCCGTGTTCGGGGATGGGTCCCACAAGCAAGCAGCACACAGAGAGCTGGGATGACGTTATCATGTGAATATACACTCTATAGAACTGCACCAGTGCATAAACTGCACCAGAGCATGACTCAAACAAGATTTTAGATGGAAATGTTTGTTTCCTTGTGTGCATAGCATCACACCTGACACATACAAATTAGTACACCTTAGAAACATTCCATCAATGATTGGCCCAGACAAAGCTAAAAGTAGATCACCACCAGTGTGTGGCTCACTTAAACGCAAACATGCAATTGAAGAATTCCAAAGTTACCTTGGTATTGCTTTGTTGCAGTAGGACAACAAAAGTTCACTCCAAATACCTACATGTACCAGTATCCCTGTTTCCTTGTTGACATAGTCATGCCTCTGATGGCTTGTTCAAACTTGCCAAACATATGACTGTCACACACTGCATGAAAATCAGGTGTACCGGCCAGTCAAAAACAAGGTGCACAGTCCTGTAGGGCCAGTCCTGTATATCATTTTGATGGAACACTTTCTGGACAGTTGTATTACCCAGTTTAGCTGCCAGTTACCTTCAACCCATGACCCAGACAACCTTGGTTTGCAAGTTCCAGATGTTGCTGAAGTCTTTTGAGTTTCACTTCAAAGTGCAGGCCTGGGATGATCAATTTGTACCCTAATCTTAGCATACATCTCATATATACCCTTCCATTCTGATCAAAGTCAGCCTGAAAACACCTTGTAACTCTTTCATTCAGCTGTCTCAGAATAACTGTTTGTTCTCTGTCAGTAATCTGACAACCCTGTCAAGCATTAGCCCTTTTTGTGTGAGCAAGGAGATTACTCTATGCCATACTTCAATTTTAAGAGAATCAAATAACTGACGCAGATATCGTAAACCTGTTTGTTTGTTTATTTTCCTAGGATTGCCATTACATAAATTGCAGACAAGTCTTCCTTGGAAGTTGAGTCTGAAAGGGTGAATCACCAACTTCCAGAAAGATGTAGTATTTGGATCATTGCACACCGGGGCATGCCCTTCCTCTTTTTCGAAAGGTGTGGTGTGTTCTTTAACATGTGTGGGGTGTGGATCTCCTCAAACACGGGACCTCCATTTAACAACCTATCTCATGGCGTGAAAAATGAAAATGAAATGACTGAGGCAAGTCCCTAACCAAGCTAATGTACTCATTTTCACCTGAGTGAAGTGAGGAAATTCGTGTGCAGTAACCTTTCTCATGGGTACAACTTCAGGGCATGTTGGTGGATTTAAACCTTTGAGTTTTCTACGGGTTCTGGGCCAAACACCCAACCATTACGGCACACAATCCAGTCTAATTTATTAACTTTGGGCCCATGCCTACACGTTTGTCTAACCAACCCTGACAGCTTCTATGCTTACTCTGCACAACCTCGACTTAGACCTTGACCAGCTGGCAAAGTTGCAAAGTAACGAAACTGGCTTTGACTGTTTCCACAACCTTCACCAAAAAATGTAAACTTTTAGCTTCATGACTTATGAAAGATAGATGTTTCTCACTGATTATGCAAATAAGATTCTCAAAATCCTCATTTGCATAAATTATATCAGTTGATCTTCACTGATATAACGGGGTAATTGCCAAATGAGTCTAATTTTAACAAATTATTCAATTTTTCTTCATAAATTATGCAAAGTTGGTCCTGTCTGACATCAAATCATATGCCCAACAATGTTTACCTAACTTCCAATGCCACATGTATGATACTCCTGATTCTATACTATTCTATTTGGTACTGGTCAAAGCCCGATGTACCAAAACTGGAACTAGCATTTTCGCATGTATCATAGGCAAATTGTCTTCACTTACGTTAAAAGTAGTTAGATTGTAAAATAATTATGTGGTGACTACACTGGTGCCATTGATTCACATTTTTCTACATCCATGAACAAAATTCCAGACATTTTGAAGCTACTTCATTACTATTTACATATTCACCAGGAAATAAGTGAAAAAAGGATATCTATTACATAGTATTAGTACCTTCAAGGAAGTCTTAAACATCCTTGGTACCTTCTAAGAACCGTGAAAACATCCGGGAGCGTTTGTATGCCAAACCCTGTACTGTGTCAACAAAAAATATCGACCAAACGTCATGGGTCGAATAAAGTACAAACGTTTTGAGAAGAACGTCAGCATGAAAGAAAGAAAGCTTGTGTTCGAGAAACGTCCTTGTAGAAATGTCTACAGCGGACGAACATTTCTGTAAACCGCTTTGTGAAAGAAAGTTGACAATATTTGTGTGTGTGTGTGTGTGTGTGTGTGTGAAATCAGCTGTCAAGGGGGAGGGGGGCAAATTATAGAATAGACAAAAAAATACTAGTACGTCAGATGAATTCAATAGTCACCACGGCTGGTGCTTTTGGCGACATCTTGTGATTACAGAACAACATCTGGTGCGTTTTCAATCGCACTGGTACATGGTACATGGCGGGCCGGACTAAGATATAACAGCAAGTGCAAGTTGGTAGGCAACCATATCATCGGGAGCTCCCCGGTATCTCTACGGCGCTGGGAGTGTCGTCCTCCCACCTAGGCTCATAACGGTACTCCGGCAAATATTTTTTTACGTTTACGGAGCTCGTTCCGTTTGGGCCTAGGGAGCCAAACGTGACGGGGTTGGCCAAGCTTATATGATTTTTTAATCGCTCCGGGAATCGAAGACCAGTAGCCACAACATGCCCCTAATACGATTACTGCCAGCCCCGCCTGGTAGCCAGGTATGCCCGAGGCCACCCAAACTTCTCTGCGGGACGCATTAGTAATCAAAAAGATAGGCAGGCTGTCAGAAAGAAAGGTCTGTGGTCAGTAGGTCTGGGGCAAGTAAACACCCACAAGTCGGCCCATAGAGAATGGTTACCAGCCTTGAAGAAATATAGTTGGACGACAGGCGCAGTTTGGCGGAAGCACAAGGCCAACTCATGGTACAACTTACAAGCAACGACAGGAGAAACTTGTCCTCCCTAAACGTTACAACTCACAACTACGGAGCTACCCACAGGTTATGTCAGAAAACTACACTTCAAACTCTTTAAAAAGCTACCGTTTAGTCTACTCACCGCACATTTTGAGCCCTTTAGTGGTGTGAGAACAGAAAAACGCACGTCAGTCCTGCAGACGAATTTTCTACCATTTGGCGACCCCGGGTCAAGATTTACGTGGCAGCGAAATGCTGCGCGCTGATTGGTGGTTTGAGGGGTGGGGTCAATAGGTCACAGAAGCACGTGACTCATATTGAACAGCTGATTGGCGGGAAGAGTACTTCCGGGTGCGTGGCCTTCGATAATCACGTACACGTAATGGTTTGTATATTGTAGCTTGTGAACCAAGGAAATTATAGATCCTTCTCTGAACAAATTAAACGAAGCTCAAAACGAGTTATTAAAATATCATTTGTCATAGTTTGCATGTAACAATGTTGAGACGTTCATGTGCCCAGCTAAAGCTTTGATTATTTCGAATGACGTCTTTGTTTTGAATTTGCGTCATTTGGGGTGTGGCTGGTCCTTCTGACTCTCATCTGAGGAAACTTGAAGAACAATGGGTTTCCTGTGGGTGTGTCCTAAAGGTGTTGATCGTTTACGGTGCAGGCTATTTGTGAGATGTGGGGCATTTAGCTTTGACGTATATGTATTTGAGACACATTTTTGGAGGGAATTAGAAGGAAATACAACGGTTTAGGAAATTGTCAAAAGTGATTATTCAAACGGAAAAATATTTGGACAAAAAAGTACTGTTCCAATGAATAGGGAAACATGTAATGTTGCAGACCATCATTCGGTTCTTGATTTCTGCCGTCAGTTTATCACAAATGGCGTCGTGAACACGGCAACCGGTTCAGAAAAGGCGCAATTGTGTGACTTCATACAATTTCACAACGGTTATTAACGTTTGCTATTGTTTGCGCAAACGACCTGATGATACTGTTCTTCTTCAAATGCCGTGGAATATTTGTCCATTTTGAATATGATTTTCCTATCCGTGGATAAGTCAATCAGTTCAAGATGGACTTACTCACGACAAGATGAGATGACAAGATCAAGTTGTTTAAATAAAAGTCAGAACTTTTAATTTGATCCAACACAAGAGCCTTCAACCCGGTCACTCTATATACTAGTAGTATTCTTCAATAGTGATTAGTGAGACTTGTTACGTGATACGACACGATCAATTTGTTCACTCTCTCAACTTCTAACAACTGAAACAAACTTTTAAACGCCTTACCTCCGTGCGTCATGTGGACATCCTGTTGTTGTTTTTCTGAGGAAAAAATCGAGTGACAGGATTTTGATAAAATCTCGCGTCCTCACATAAGACGCGCTTTGAGTGACAGAGGTGCGTTAATATTAACCAGGTAGTGAGATAGTTGAGTTCTATTAAGGTCAGCACTACAATAAACCCCAGGAGTTAATTGCCAGGTGAGTATTAGCTCGTAATATTTGGCAGACATTATGACGCAAAAGCAATCGATCAGTTCGAGATAAAGGAATCAAAACATGTTTATTGTGTCCATTGTCCTTGGGGCACAGTCATTGTAAATCTTACAAGGTAAATAAAAAGTGCTACTTTCATGTTGATTTCTAGTCCTCTAACCAGGGAAACAGTACAGGCTTTTCCTTGAGACTAATTTCCAAGACAAAGCCCACCGCCACGTTGTCAAGATTAATTATCCGGATTGTGACACTGTAACTAATATCAGATATCATTTAATCCCCAGCCAGACATAGCCTGGGTACCAGACTCCCTCGCGGCTCGCAATGCGAAACTTTGGATGGGAGAAGCCAAGCAGATTCTGTGTGGCAACGCTATGGGTGTCTATATTAGCCACCTGTATCCATTGGCCTAGCTCCTGTAACTGAATCTGCCGCAGAACGCAAGGCTTCAAGCCTTTTAAATCTAATCACTTTTGACACATTTCGGCTGATTTGTAAGTAGGTGCGAAGTTTGCGTTGGGCAGCCAATGGTTACAGGAGGCAATAGACTCCCCTTGCCCCAGAATCTGCTTGGAGATAAGGGGGACGCCACACGCCCCCAATAACAGAGGGTTAGCACCCGGGGTCTAATTTATCTCTCGCGACGGGGTAGATAATTCGCGGGAGGGTGCCAATTCCCACCGGCAGCAGGGGCGTGTTGGTAGAGCTGGCCGAGGGATCTGTGAATTTTCTCATTCTCTATTCTAAGCGCCCGAGGTCTGGCACACTCCCCAGGGACCCTTTATTCACTCATAACATCCCAATACTTATTTCATTAAAAAGGATGAAGGAAGGATTATTTTACTTGTTTATTTCCATCGACTTTCCTCTCACCAGACTGTGCCCGTGTGAGTGTGTTGCGCAACCTTCTCTCTGACAATGACATGTACGCAAACTGTACTCCCTAGTGGACCATCTCCCCTAGCATGTTACCTCTCTATTTATTAGTATTTGGCCAATTTCTACTCTTTCCATGGTAAAATCCATGCTCTTTCCAATCACTTCTCGAAGTCTGGTACAGGCACTACCGTCCAAGTCCGCCGGGTGGCGCAAATTATCTAAAATCTGGGATGAAAGGTCACACCCACCTTTGGTCGATGACCCGACCCCGCCTGTTCACATGCTGTCAGTGTTCAGGCAGTCTTTCGGCCGATTTCGAATTGCCTCACGAATTTCCTCCTCTCAGCATCAAGCATTTCGTGCCGAGTACACTCAGGGAAGAGCGACAAGGATGACCCGAACGCTGGTGCCTGAGATCCGGTCCGAGTTCCCGTGCGTGGACGGAACGCCGACCCACGTCCTGAAATGTGGAGACTTTCCAGCTGATCCAGACCAGGGCAAGAAAATGTTGTACCTCATCATTCCAGGTTAGACAATTTTCCTAACTAGTCTTACAGCATGGCTGAACGCCATAACTTCGCATATGTATATAATATATACATGTATATGTAAACATATATATATATATATAAAAACATATATATACATATACATTTATCTGGACACAGGGCTATTGTATCTAAACTAGAGTTCCACGATTTCATACCTTCGCCAGGTATGGTTAACCATTATGACTGACGAATGATGAATGTTAATCAATGATTGTGCAAATAAGATCCTCATTTGCATTAATTATATCAGTCAATCATATTCACCACTCAATGACACCCATCTTATATAGTGTGCTTGGAATGGTCTTACTATATACAATGTATGTATTGATTTGACGTACTAGTATTATGTGTCTTAACCATTCTAGTATTTCATCATAAATTATGCATCTGACACCTCCCGCCCCTCTACCCATAGTTTAAACTTGAATTCGAACATAATAATATTAGTACCCGTTGCTAAGTAACTAGCGAAGACAGGTAAAAATGTTTCCCCTCTTTTCTTGACCAGGAAACCCAGGAGTCGTTGGTTATTATGACAAGTTCATGAGAGAGCTGTACAGAGCTCATGGAGGTCACATTCCTGTGTGGGGCGTGGCACATGCTGGTCATGTCATCCTCCCAGATGATGTCAGAAAGGGAAACTCAGGTAAGGAGATTAAGAACTTATATTGAAATGTCATGTTATTGATAATAATAATATAATAATCAGGGTTTTTTCTAGAAAAATTTAGCATGAGGGAGCAGATCGCAAGCATAAGAAGGAACGAAACGACACTCACAAGGGTTCAATTTGAAAATTGGTATGAGGGAGCTGGCTGGTTACATGAGGGAGCAGCTCCCTTATTCCCCTGTTCAGAAAACCCCCTGATAATGTTAGAGTTTGATGAGCTTATATGCCTAAGAAAGTATTGTTTTGCAAGTCACCAATGAGCTTCATAGTATCATACTTTTTTTTACTTTACTCAGATGCATCAAAAGGAACTTTCAGTTTGCAAGACCAAATCAATCACAAAATCTCCTTCATCAAGAACCATGTCCCAGCTGACACTCAACTCATCCTGATTGGTCACTCCATTGGCTGTTACATAATCCTGGAGATTCTGAGGCGCTGCCCTGAGGTGAATGTCCTGAAGGGCATTCAACTTTTGCCCACTGTGGAGCACATGAAGGAGACGCCCAATGGTAGTAGGATGTTGCCTTTCGTCTTGTACTTCCGATGGCTGGCCTGCTTTGTAGCCTTCATGCTGTCCTTTCTCCCAGAAGTCATGAAACTTTGGCTGCTCAAGTTGTACTTCCTGGGAAAGAAACTTGACCCAGGAGCGGTTGAAGCCAGCCTGAACTTATTTGACCCCAGCGTGACAAATAATAGCCTCTTTATGGCATCACAGGTGAGTCTGGTGTCCAAGGAACATAATGATTTTGGTGAGCAGAGCTTGAAATTATTTTCTACACATTGGTGGATATTATGAATTTAAAACTTAATTGATTGTATAACCACACTTTTCCCTTTTTTTACAATTGATGAATAATATTATAATGTAGTAACATAGATATTATGATTATTTAACTGGGAAATTATGTAAGTACAGTATCAGCACCTAGGGATTAGGTATTTTGGACCAGAACCTAATCAATTTCTCCTGTACAGAACCGGTTCTGTGTGCCTCTGACTAATCAGCAAGATTTGTTTTGTACTATAGGAAATAATTCAGGTGCGTGAACCAGACCTGCACTGCATCAGTCAGCACCTGGACAGACTTATCTTCTATTATGGTGTGAATGACGGCTGGGCACCTGTCAGCTTCTACCAGAGAATGAAGAACACCTTCCCACAGGTGAGACTAGGGCTGCGTAATATCAGGTACAGGTATAGGTACACAGAGGTTTAGGTACTTAGTATTACATGTATCCGGACCTGTATCTGTACCTGAACAATTTGACAAATTACCAAGATACGGTACTAAGTATGTTCTTCTGTACTTCCTCCATACCGTTAATAATAGAAACAGTAAACATTTGTAAACTTCACAGTCATAAACTTTATTCAAATTCTGTAAAACAAAAGTAGTTTCACCTAATCTTTCATATCCCAGATAGTATTTTCCTTCATTGACATGTGTATTGACTAATATGATTTTCTGCCTATAGGGAGATGTCCACTTATGTGAACGAGGGATTCAGCATGCGTTTGTTCTTGAGCAGAGTGCAGAAATGGCAGGGATGGTGGCAGAGTGGATAGAACAAGCCACAGCTGCAGAGGGTGGGAGAACACTGCAAACTGGCTGATGGTACAAATACCATGAACGAATAAATTTGTCATAATTATGACTTACATTGTTTTATAAAGGAAAGACTTTAATTTTTATAAATCAGATGTTGTTTTTTAAATTCTAAATTATTCAGCTGAGTCTTTATTGTTGTGCAATTTTATCATCTAATGGTAGACTGTTGTGTGTTCAGTTTTCATCCACAGTTCATTCTTACTAATATGATAATCTTGTATGTAAATTATCCTAACTAATATACATTTTATTGGTAAAATTACAATGACTTGATTTGGTAATATATTTATATATATTTAGATGTGAACTGCAAGTCACAACATAACGATTGCACCCGACACTGTAGGTATACATGTGTGCTAGTCTTTATCTGACTTCTGGTCATCAAACTTATATGTACATTGTTGCCAATGGAACCTTGATCTTACCTTGAATGTCATGTATTAGCTTCTTGTGAAAGTTCTATAGGTATGGGGATCAAGTTTTTAATGTGTGACCATTTCAGAGCAGGACTTCTTAAAAATGTGGTGCTGGCGAGAAATGTGTGTAAAAATGGAGAAAAATGTCTTTTCAGTCTTTCTTAGATCTACCTCGAACTCCATAAAAAATAGTGGTAATCAACACAGTTCTTAGTCTATAGTTACTCTCCAAGCAGAGGTTTGGATTTTGGGGATATTTTAGCATGTTTTTAGGCTTTTTTATCGGGGTTTCTCTTTTGCACTGAATTTTTTTCCCACCAAACCCTTGGTGGGAAAAAAATTTCAGTGCAAAAGAGAAACCCCGATAAAAAAGCCTAAAAACACCCTAAAAATACCCCCCAAACCCAAACCTCTGCTTGGAGAGTAGTCTATAGTCATGTATGTGCATGTGTCTCTGCATATGTCTGGTGAGCATAATTTGAGAGGGCGAAGGTAATACCAGATAATGAAAATCAGCATAAGGACTGGTGTATAGCTACCAACAGAACATTTTAATAGCAGACTTTGCAACATATACACAATAAAAGTGTCCTCAATTAGAAAAAATACCATCAACAATCTTGTTCAAATTACAAAATCAAGCAACTCATTTTCCCATTAAAATGTATTGAACAACTTAACATGTGATTCAGATATTCATTCTTTTACTCCTATGCAATCTAGCACATGCATGTAGGTCATACTTCATGTACTATAGTGCAGCTCTCATAAAAACATTTGGCACTGAAACCAACTGTGCCTGCAAAGTTAGACTGCCTCATTGTCACATCTTTGTCTCTGCACAGAAGCCTGTTCCTGCCTGTCACTATGACGAACCTGTAGTTCTATATCCTCTGCCTGGGCACATTCCCCGATGTTGTTCATCTCTATAGCACTGTCCCTGTCTGAGTCATCCTTTGTACTTTTCCTGAGCAGACGTCGTGCAGTCAGGCTGATGAGGGCTGAGCCGAGGGGCGCCGTGATGAGGATGACCAGCACTGCGATGGTGAGCAGCTGAATCCCGAGTTTCTCATTTGTGGCGTCTCCAGGGGTCAGTTCTCGGGCTGTGTCCAGTGCAGTGGACCCGATAGCAGCCTGCAATGGAGGAGGAATAGGTTTAACTCTTCACCTCAGTCCATAGAATTCAGGAATATTTTCTGTAGTCTGCATATCTAAAATTATCATTTACTATGGTAAATCAAAATTGTCTACAAAACTTACCTTTCAGCCAACACTGAGAAAGCAAGGCGATAGTAAGTTCTACATTTTTTTAAAACATGAATCATGCATATTTTCAATGGATTTATTACTGATAAAAATGCATGTAAAATTTTTCTCACTAGAATATTCGATAGGTGGATGTAACAAAAAAATTCTAGAGTAACATTGTATTTCACATTGTATTGTTATGTGCCCATAACTTTAAGACTAACGGTTACAAAGGTTTGGGACAGTGCAGTGATGGAATCTGACCGGCTCCAATTTTATTTGTCATTCTCAATAATGACAGAGATTGTGATCCTTTTATACTTGTCCTGTGCCTACCTAGTGCAAGGCACTCTAATGTAAGGCAAGTAGAAGTTATTAGATCTCTTATGAACATGCTGATAAAGATTTCTAGGTCAAATAAAAGAATGTCAAACCAACACAGGTTACCAAATGTGTCTCACCTGTACTGTGGCCTTGGGTAACCAGGCGATGGCTACAAACAGTCTCTCCTTCCACATGAATCCAGCCCAGCTCACAGCCACACCTGATGCTACCATTCGCACTAATGAACCAATTACGATGGCAGCCACTCCCAAGCCTGGCAGCAAGACACACGAAAAAAACATTAATGTCTCAACTTCATCACCTGAAGATCACAACTTCCTCATCTTTCTCTTAAGAAATGGAAGTTTTCAACTTTGATTCATGTCAATTTAGATTGATTTAAAACACAGGATTCATGAATAAACACATTACATAAATCCTGATTCCTATTGATGTCTCTCGAGATCATAGGATTGGGTATTCTGCCAGATCACATGACATACATGACTGTATATTACTGTAATTCCTGAGTTTTTCATGGTACTTTTATGTCTGCGGTTTTTGCAGTCACTTCTATACTGTCAACTTATCATTACTAAAACAAATAATTTACCTACTATAGTTCCATGAACATGTCCATTTTTCTCAGACCACAAACTTTTGCTACCCTGAACATAAAGTGATTTACAGTAATTTGGAGTATGCACAGAATGTCCTCCACAAAATGAATTGTGTGTAACATAATACATTGTATACATTGTCATCACCTATTGTCTGTGGCTGGATCTTCAGTACATCCACCTCTGCACCGATCAGCCCAAACAGGAAGGGCTGAGCCACTCTCCACAGATCTGACATCATGGACTCTACAGGCTCCTACACACAAATCATTCATGTATCTGTTTTAACATGTGATTTATAAAGCACAGTGTATTTACAGAGTTATAGGACAAACCTAATTAAGTTTCTGAACTTTCTGTCCAGTTATGCTGTTAAACCATAAACACGCAAAACATACCAATACAACAAATCTAAGTTCATGTACAGAAAACAGAACCATATATTTTCATGAAGGTAATAAAAGTTGACCTTGTCAATCTTCCACTTGAAGCCTGCCACAAAAGCCATGACCAGACATCCCAGGGCCCCAGAACCTGCATACCCAGCCGTCCTGCTTCCAAAGGTCATCAACAGGCCTGTTCCCAACACCATCCACACTCGCATCCTAGGCACGTCTTTCTGTAACATTGGACAAAACTTGTCAGAGAACAGGCCTGTGTACCCAACACCATCCACACTCACACTCATAGTCAAATTTGTAAAAAATACCAGTTACACAACATGTATATGCAAAGATATAATATTTCAATGATATTTTATGTAATAAAATACTACTACTAGTTCTAGTAATACATGCTTTTACTTGACAAGGTTAAATTGGACATTCCTGACCATATCTTTACTTGGGAAGTACCACAGGAATATGCCTGCCAGTGTTCCTCCTGCAATTCCCATCAGGAGCTCTAGGGGGCCTCGAAAGATTGTGAACACAAGGTTACCTGAATGTGAAAAAAAAGAAGAAATTAGTACTTACCTTTTACCATTACATGCTTCTGTTACATACTCTTAATGTGTCTGATTACTCATAATTCAGTTTATGAGTGTACTGAAAGATTATCTGATATTTTGTACTAAATTATGTATATCAAGTTAAATTTGCCTGATTTTCAAATCTGTGGAATGTTATGTTGTATGTAACAGTCTTTGTAATAAAGATAATTTAATACACCATGTCAGGTACATTCATAAATCATTTCATCAGGTTGGTGAATGATTGAATATCAAAGAATACTCTTTATTCACAATTACTAATAGTCATCATTCAAAGATTTTTAAGTAGAGCAGGTGATTTATAATTACCAGTTGTGAATGTTATGCCGAGACAAACTGCGAATCCTGTGATGGCTAGGACGTCATCTACACTTCCCGAGGCGATGACTAGCGTGGGGATGCCCTGGTCCACTCCTAACCCCAACTCCTGCAGCCACAACATGGAGGGGACCACTACTGCAGGGGACACTGCAGCCAGTACAAACCTGCACACAACAAACAACAGATGGGTCAGAGAAAAAGTGTTTTTTTTCTGGGAAAAAGTGTGATGATACAATCCCGGGAAAATGACATTTTTCATGGTGCGGGCACTCTCTGGCTAAAGGTAGTTTGTAACTATATCAACAATTCTCCAATAAAGGAGTCTAGCAGTGTTCTAGCCAGTGTTCGTTTCTCCCATCATTTGATCGAATTTTGCTGATGTTGTACAAAATTTTGCCTGATGGGACAAAAATCAGCATGTAATGTATAGAGATGAACAGAGGTGTCATTCAACTAAGCTTAGGCTCTGACCAAAATTTTCCACTAAAAATGCAGGAAACAACATTTCAGAGGGTTTACATTTCCAGGGGGTGCATAAGGACATAACCCTGCACACACCAGTGATTCACTTTGGACTCAAGGAAGAATAGTGTAAAATTTACACTAATGGAGATCCTATTACAACAAACAAACAAACAAACCCCAGCATGAATCCCCAGAGCCAGGGGAAGCCCAGTAGGAAGTGTGTGACCACAGCTAGAGTACAGGCCTCCACCACACACGGCAGGAAGGCCAGTAGCAGCACGGTCCAGCTTAGCCGCCGCAGCTGCACAGGGTCCAGACCCAAACCTTCAAATGTACAAATCATCAGTATTTACTATTCTATCACAAGGATTTATCGAAGTTGATCTTTATTGCTCAATAATATTACAATTACATGGTACAATGTATGGCAGTCAATCAACAATAGTACATGACTAATCTATCCTATAATTACCAACAATGTATGTTTTGAATTTTATGCAAAGTCAAGTTCTTCAGAGTTCAAAAGTGAGTTCTTCATAGTTCAGTCTACAAGACTTCATAGTTCAGTCTACAAGACTTCATATTATAGTTCAGTCTACAAGACTTCATGGATCAGTCCATGTTAGTTTGCTGTATAATAGCTGACATTTTCTACCTAAAATGTGTCCTGTTATATATAGGAACTAGAGAAGTAACATTTGCAAAGCAAATGCATAATGTTTACCTTTGGACATGGTCTGCCCTGTTAATTTTTGCTCAAACATAGTCACATACATGTAACGTTACTACTAGTATATGGTGACAGGATAGCAGAGCAGACCATGAAGTTTGCAACATTATGTAACCCAACACCAGTCACCATGGTGACAGACGTCAACAAATCATGTCATTGGCCAGGTCAGAGGTTAGTGTTTGGAGAAGAAGAAGAGGAAGAGGAAATTGAGTAAAATCAATATGTTTTCCTTCGGTAAACATAATGACCTGCTGCCAGTGACTGACCTGCTCGGATAAGAATAACAGTCAGGGCGATAAGGCGGATGGACGATGCCCAGACCGGATCAATCCAGCTCCCCACCATGATGCCAGGAACATTCCGCAGCAGGATGCCTGCAACCAACATTCCTGGTGGAAAACATGTTGGCGTCAATTTTCGGCAGATAACGTAACTTGTTTCTTCACATCGTTGGAAAGGTCTATCCATATCATCATGGCTAATGTAAGCATAAGGAGCTTCAACTTCCTGAGATATAACTGATATAATGTCCTTGCTGTAATTATAAGTTACACATTCATCCATTTTATGATACTGGGAACCTATTGCAAACTGCAATTGCTTTCAAAGTCTTTGTAGGAAAATAGCTATTTTTCATATGTCTGGCTGGCAACTGCATATTGCATAAGATATATAACGTTAATTACTGGAATAAACGTGATCTTCACATTTAATTTAGTTCCCTGCAATATCCTTTGTTTTAGAACTATATTATCACTAGAGAGGCCGACATTTGCTTGGGAGCAAATACAGCATATTTCAGTCCATCTCCCTCCCACGCAAAAGTGGACTATTCCAAACTTACCCCAGTGTAAAACTGGCAAAGATTCTCAAATAAATGAATTATATAGTAGCTATGTAAGTGAGAACAAAGATGCAAGAACAAGCACATTGAATCTCGAAAGCTTTACTAATCTTATTACAGGTATGCAAATACTAACAATGATGAGATTTGATACATTTTGAAGGTCTTAGGCACATAAAATTGAATGTGTGGGTCATTACGCACGACTTGCGTGCAATGTGACCCCAGGTAACCCGCAATGGAACATGTGTTCGCATGGCCAACGGCAGATGGAACAGGCCATTCTTTAGATAGAACATGGAACGGGTATAGCACTTTTGGCCCTTTTTTTGCTGAAAAGAGCCATTAAAGTCCCCCAAATGAGTCATTTGGAAGTGGTGTATGCCAAATATATGACTGCTATTCTGTAGACACATGTTCAAGGTACCCTTATACCGAATTTCAGATAATTTGGTTGTAAAACCAGGGCTCAGGATCCAAAAATCCATTTTTTGGCAAAAATGCCCCAAAAAACCTTCATAAAAATTTTTCAAAGGCATTTATCAAAAAAATGAAAAAAACACCTGGGGGTATTGGCCCACTCTACCTCCATGCCAAATTTCAAGTCATTTGGCTGAATGATGGCGGAGTTGAATCCCTTTGACTGTTTGGCAGGAGAAGAAGAAACATGAGAGAACACAATATATTTCATCCATACCATGGTATGGACTGAAATATAATAAAACCACATCCCTTTCGTTCCCCATGGCCACATTATGACTGTGGCTCAGTTACACATGTACACGTGTGTCCTTCTTACCTACCTTCGAATGGGTACCTGTAATTTAATTCATCATATCAGAGGACTTAGTGTCTCTTGTAGTATCAAGTACCCCAGCCTGTGAATCTGTTTTGCCCTATATGCTTCATATGTACCCAGGTGTACTGCTTTTGGTCCAAAATTATATATACTAGTATATAATCCTTCTGATGTTTGAGAAGTACAGTAGAGCTGTACTGACCCAGGAGTGGAGGAAGTTTGATGTACTGTATGAGCTCGCCTGCAATCACACACACCACCAGTAACACTGTCAGGGCAAACAGGTTTCCACCTGAAACATACAAACATAAAAAAACTTTTATTGCCTACAATAGGTGTATTCATAAGTGGGGAAAGGGGTTGGTAGATCGTGTCCCTGCAGTATGTCAACTTTTCACATTTTGGGGGCAAACATGACTTTAGGCTGTTTGCAACAAAATGATTTAATTTACACATAACTGCACACAATCTCGGGATGGTCTAAATCTTTACAATGCCAGCCGAAATTATGTTCAGGGTGGTTTGAAATACATGTACAAGTACATGTACTGCTTTCCCCCCGAAATACTGGATTTTTTTATAGAAATACTGTTTTTTTTCCCTCAGATTGCCCACTAGACAACCTAAGGCAAAAGAGAGGTTGCCCATCAATATTTCAAGTTGGTTGCCATCAACATTGGTTGAATATTTCAAAAGGCAAAAAAATATGCCAGGCCACCAGTAAAGTATCACTCACATGCTGGCCGAGGTGGACACAGTTTATTTCAGAAGTGGTAACTTTCACACCGGGCAACCTGGAGTTTCCAATAAATCTCACACAGTAACCATGACTTGCGCAGCGAGAGTGGGTATTTCGACCTCTGATCTCACTAACCTGGTAAGGCCTCATCTTTTGTGACTGCCCAGAGTGCAGCCCACCCCAACACCACCATCACCAGCAGTGTGAACATCTGCGCAGCTGTGCCATGAGGTGGACACCTGGCACCATACATGCACCTGTCTGACCAGGTGGGGGCATGTGGCAGGGGATGGTAGGACGTCAGGCAACAGCTGAACATCCTGCAACATCAGCGATCAGGCAACATCATACAACTGTAATTCATTTTCTTTTTATTTCTGAAGTCACAACTATATAGGCACTTGGTGCAGTTAATTAGTCCACCAATATCAGCTATTAAAGGCATCCTACCGGTATGTAACTTCGGGGCAATAAAACAAAAAACATTCTGGATGAGGAAATCTGTAGACTCTGATATTGACATTTACTGCCATTTCTTATATTATATAGCAGGTTTTTATCATCATGTCATATACTCGAGGCATTTGAAATTGCCCAGAAACAAAATACCGGTACATGTATGTAACTGTAAGGCATCTCTTTGCTTTTTGAATACCACCATTAATAGCTAGAACCAGCCTACGATACAAAACAAGCAACCATTGTCAGTGTCACTGTAACATCACATTTTTGGCTCACAGACATCATGTTTTATATGGGATAGGATTGATTCAACTAATACTACTACATTGAAAGAACCATGTTCTTCAGCACTTGAAGGGGGAAGACTTACTTCTCACATCTCTGTGTACACCTGACACACTTTCCCTGGGCTGATTCAGCTGTCACACTGGTCTCTTCCTCCTCCTGATCTCTCTCTTCTACTCCATCAATCCAACTGGACCTCCTCTCCACACCTCCACTGTTCCCCATTTCTCCACCTTCCAGAAACCTGGTGTTTTCACTGATACCTGCATCAGTTCTGGACACAGAGTCCCTTCTGTGTTCCACTGCTGTGTCGTTTGTGGCTGAACTTGTCATGTTTCTATCTCCTCCTTCTTTACAGTACTTTTCAAATAGTTTTGTAAAGATTCTTCTTCAGAAAATAGAATTTCCTAATTTCTGACTGATGGTCATGGAGTGCATTTTCATAGTAGTTTTCTTACTTATTTCAATAAATTTTATATGCGAGTTATTTCATTACAGTCTTTTAAGGTCTGGTACACCTTTTAAGTACTACCATGTGAATCAAAATTATATATATTTTAAGTACAGACTGTACTTCTCCGAGTTCTATCGCCTTAGTCATCAAGTTTATCAATATCATAAAATACTGACAATGATTATTGCCTGGACATTCCTGAGATCATTGTCTGAAGAGCAGCAGCAGTTGGCGTTAGATCAGCAGCATGTGAGATGGCACCTGCCAAAGAACACATATGGGTATACAACAGTACTAATCATTCCAAGTGAAACAAAAGAGTCAAGTAGTACAGTAACGTTTAGTCACCTGACTCTCGGGATTCGAATCCGTGCTGAACCCGAACAGCCTGCTCAAGAACCCTACACACTAAGTAACCACGAGGTTATAGCTATAAACGTATGTACCAGTTAGACTGCCTAAGTTGGTACAATATAGTTGCAGTTCCACAACAAGTTTAATACTTGACATAATTAAATGACATTTAATGCAAATTAAGATCTAATTCACATAATTAATTATGAAATTCTATCTATGTGATGAGAAATTAAGATCTAATTCGCATAATCAATTATAAAATTCTATGTGATGACCATGTACATTTCATAATGATGGCAACTTTTTCTACTAAACTTTTTTTGTTTATTCACATCAGTTTTGGGGTTCCCAGACGATGTCATCCATATCAAATCTAACGTTACACATACATGGCCTATAAATGTATGTAAAAGGTCACTATTAAATAAAGGTTTCATCACAGGTTCCCATCGGAAAATGACGTGGAGGTGACCAAAACTTTTTCTGATTTCTCACTACATTGTACCAAGAACACTGGTCTCCATTGTACTCACCCTATAAAGCCTGCAACTTCACGTTCAAATGCAAACTGTGCACTGTTCACTCACTCTCGTGACACTCGAAGAAACCATGATGAAATGCTGCATTGTGGGATGGCATTAAAGAGAGATATAGCGCCACCTGCCGGGAGAAGGAGTATTGCATATCATGCACCTTGGTCACGCCTTCTATTTTCTGCGAAAATTCAAATGGCAGAAAGTGTCAGATGGAAAATTTCTGAGAGAGTTTTATTACATATTGAAAAACAAAACACGCTTGGCCCGCATGAGCATCATCATCATCATCATCATCATCATCATCATCATCATCATCATCGTGCATCCTGTATTAGAGAGATCACGGATTGATTTTAGATAAAACAAGGTCAAGGGCATTATATAATATAAAGTCCTTGGATAAAGTCATTAAAGTCGTAAAAATAGGGGTATTTTCTAATGATTATACGATCTTTGAAAACTGCGACGGTATCTTAAAATAACAACGCTCATCATCTCGCAGACGACATGCCAAACGACACATTTATGACATTTATACCAAAAATCAACTGCAACAAATAAAGGGATCGTCAGTTTATACAGCTGAGCTGCTAGCCTACAGACTCGACTGATTTCACTACTCTGTGAGGGTATAGTTAGCTACACGATAGTTTGTTTAAAGATTTAAAATTGCCCTCTTGTGCGAGCTTCTCTTACAGCTACCCATCCATATGTTAACGTTACTAGTAGCTAACGTTATGTGTATGCAGGACTAGAAATTAACTTTTCTTCCTATTGTGCCAGCACTGTCCCAAAAATAAATTCCAATTGTCCCGAAGAGAGGATGAACTGTCCCGACCTGGTTTTTGGATATGACTTCAAACTTTATTTTGCATATGTTCTGACTCCCAGGCACACTATAATTGCAGTGTAGACAGGACTTTTCCGGATCCAAAAGCCGGGACATGTGCCTTATAGACAAAAGAAGGGCTGATCGACATTCTGGTGTTATTATTTTTCTATTGTCCCAAAAATGTCCAAAAGTATCTTTTTAGTTGTCCCAGCCTAAATTTTAGTGGGACCACCTTTAGTTTCGAGCCCTGGTCCTTGGTATGACCCTTCCCAGCTCCCAACAAGCGTCCCCCACTATTGTTTATTATTCGGCACGTGACCGGTTGCTGGGCGACGGCCGTACATCCGGGACATTCTGCTGCATGATGGATTCTTGATGTGAAAAAACAGACGACATTTTGGTTTTCCCGTCTCAGGATTTCCCCCTTTCAGTTGGCATTTATTCCCACCCCGAACATGTCAGGATGAAATCTTCTCCAGGATAGGCACCCACTGAGCTAGAGGATTCCGAGTATGTGCAGACCGTGGCGTTTTTGAGGAGGATTTGGTACAAAAATGGAGTGTGAAAGTGGTGGGGAGGGCGGCTCGGGCAAGCCGACGTCGTCTTCATGAGACGGACTCCCAGAGGTGCCCTGCTGTAAACTCGACGTGTTTTCTTCTTTCTAGTCGTTTCTTGGATCACTACAGACCCAGCATGGATCTGTTCATTGAAACCTTGACTGGAACAGCGTTTGAACTCAGAGTGTCTCCATTCGAGACAGTCATTTCAGTGAAGGCGAAGATCCAGAGACTAGAAGGTGGGTGGGCGACATAGCTGAGATGTTGCTATGTGCTGTATTTATTTACATTTTGTCTCATGCCTAAAAAAATCCACATACTGTACTTTTTTTTATATCCTTACAGTTGTGAGCACAATTATATTATACATATTACGGTTGCCAACTGTGAACCTTAAGAGAGTGAACGTAGATTCCTGTTTGTACCAAGGCTGTATACTGTAGTTTCCTTCGCTGAAATTATCTAATGAAATTTTATGAGAGCGCAAAAAAATATTTGCCAGTAGATTTTGTTGAAATTAGTTAGCTTTTCTGACATGTACACTACACTGTACCCAATTTGTAAGTTGGTTGCACTTTCTATGTTGTTGTTATCTCTGTTGATACGCTAGGGATTGTTGAGAGACAGTCCCTTGTGCTTGCTTTTTAAACTTTAGTCTTGTGTTGTGCAATTTTCTTATCTAGTATTATAAATTCTACTTACAACTTGAGCAATATTATTTTTGTAAGCCTTCAAATATTTGTACATCATCCTGTATATTTTTTGATACAGTATTTTTTAGTTAATGATGATTTTTGCGACCAGTTCTCCCTTGAGGATAGCCCCTGGCATTTCAGAATATGTTGTGTTGGTACATTTGTTCTGACTGCAAATATATATGCTGCTAGCCCTTGATTTTCACTGCAGCAAAATTTAGCCAGAGTTGACTAAGTCAGTGGTGTTGCAAACATATTCTATCATCTATATTATCTGTCAATGTTATTATGATTTATGATGTTAGTTCTAGCACAAACTGCAGCCTAGCTATAATGTTGCACGTATTTAAAATGTGCATTAAGCATGTATGTAGTACATGTAGTTGACACCATATGACAAGATCATTACATAGTGATGATCAAGAGCCCTGCTGACTATTTCAGTGTTTTTTTCTTCAACACTACAGGACTCTAGAGGACTACTGGAATCAATACTGTATTTCACACCAAATTCTTTACCTGCTCAGTAAAATTGTTCTTGGTAACAAGCTGGAAAATCATGATGTTATAGAGAAAGTTGTTAAAAATCTATATTTAGACAGATGCTAGCAAATTCTTACATCATTATCATCAGTCCCATCATAGCACTAATCTGTCATAGCAGCATCAAAACTTTGAACAGAAGTCTTCCTTCTCTGGGAGCACCGAGGCAGTACCTCTGACAGTCTGGCCAACGTTGTTTGTTATTCTTTCTTACACTTTAGTGATGTTTGATGAAAATTTGTTTGGTGTGAACTTTCAAGGGAAAATATGGTACAATGTAATATTTGACTTGTAGACAGCAACATTTTCACGTGGATATTCCTTTTAATGAATTTTTGCTAAAATGTAAGGGTGCTTTGTAGATATAACTGTACAATTTATTAGTTGTAGCAGAAATCTAATGTCATGTGAATCCAAATCCCTACATTGTAAGAAACGTGGAATTGGTTTAGCCTAAACTTTAAGGGCATACCATAAAAAAAGTAAAACTAATTTAGATGTGTATTTACAATTTTATTTTACATGTACGTGTGTAGTTGCAGTACATTTGTACCACCGGTGCCTCCATGCATGGTTAGGCAGTTTAGAGGGTTTGTTTTCAGTGTTGTTGGCAACGACTGCAGGATCTCTTCTCACAATCAAATAGTGGACACAGAATACTAATGCAAAAAGCCAAGCACAAAGCTTCAAGGCTGCTTGAAATATGTTAAGATTTCACACTTTTGACATGATTACAGATTTACTACTTATGTAAGTTATGAGCATTTTTTGTATCCATTAAGTTAACGTAGGCAGTACCAAGTATATCGGGTATCTACCCATGTCACAGGTGAAGGGCACAAACTTTAAGACAAAATAAGAAAATTGATTGTGGCACTTTGCTACTTGTACATTTGTACATAGGCCCAAAGCTTGTAAATCAGTAATGAATCGTCTCAGAGTACTCTATATGTCTGTAGTGCCCCCATTGTTTCATCACTGTGGGCAGCCCTTGTGTTGCATGGGACACAGAAACATGAGACGACCCCAGGGGAAGGGGTTTGAGAAACATGATTCCTCAAAAGGTACCATGATACACTCATTCCCATGGTAAGGTGGCAGTCAACACAGAATGTCATTGACACCTAGCCGGCTCCCACAAAGGTGCTATTCTGGGGACTGTCCTTGTATTAACCTTTTAACTCTTGTTGCTGTTAGTTGAACTATTGAAGATAAACAGCATCGTGGCTGCTTTTTTTTAGAAAATTGGGTTGCTTGGAAGTGAAAGTATGTTGTAAACACACCTGAAAAAATAACGTAAGGTTAATCTTAACTACTGACAAACCAAATTGACACTGTGAAATGATGCGTGATGAAAATGCCCTAATTTGCACAATCTTCTTGTAAGGATCGCA